AAGAACAGATTCATTCACCCCTGCAGTTCATCTATTGAAATTTGAACTTTTACAGCCTGCAAAATGCTTGAAATGGGAAATAAAAATCTTTAATTTACTTAGAAAAACACAGATACTATTTCCCCTCCCATCCTTAGCATCCTTCCAGTGATGCAAGTGCTGCTATTCTGTTATCTCAGTATGACTTTCCTGTGTTCTTTCACTCAATGTGTACATCACTAATGAAGAAGTGAGCAAAGAAGCTGTGAGAACTGGACAGAGACTGTGTTTGTTAAGCAAAACTTTTATCTTTATAGCAGCACAGTCAACATGAGAGACCTCATAAATCCTCCTTCAGTTCCTTAAACATCAGCTTTGTTAGCCGTTGTCTTCTTGACTATTAAGTATTTCTCTTCTCCCTCACATCATCTTCCATAAAAGTTTGGTTAGTGTTTATTAGTCTTTATTTAGAGATTTTGATAATCTGATCAAAATCAAAGGTAAACATTCATTTTATAAATCAATGGTACCTCAAATACTCTGCAATTCAGGTTATATAAGAAGCAGTTGAAGCTTACATTTCATTACACTCTACAGTAAACATAGTTCTATCTTTCTGTAAAATACAGTTTGCAAACCTTGTTTTCTGTTATCAACACATTGTATATTTTTAGAAAAGAAAGCCATGACCCCTTTTCATTCCATTCTCCCACTCAGTGCTGTGAAATGCAAATAAAATGCTTGGTCTTTCAGGTATAAAAAGCTTTTGGCAAAACCCTCAAGTGAGGTAAATCAGTGCATCCTCTTTGAAGCCAGTGGAGCTGCTCTGCTTTATGTCAGCTGAAGTTGTGATCCAGTGGATTAGCTGCTTTCTTTGGGGTTAAAGCTCCATGGAGTCTGGACCTCCTCTCCATTTCACTCACAGGAAAGTTGCAAAACCTTCTTCTGAGGCTTTGCAGTTACCTGCACTGAAGCACCAGCTATATCTAGGGATCAACGTCTTTGGCCCTTTCTTGTTCATCCTTGAAAAAATGTATTTTACTCCTCAGTATTTGTTCCACACTTGGTAGACTGGTAGGAATTTTCAGTGTGTCCCCCCACTATAATTAAAGTGCTTTTTTTCCTCTTCCTCCAGAGAGTGCTTCCTAGGGACATGCAGACAATAAGTCTCATCTAAGGTTCAGTGAAAATATTTGAGTAGATTCTGCCAAGAAACTAGTATTTCAAGATATTTTGAACATAAAAGCCATTCCAGGGAAAACTGATCCCACAATAGGACAGAGAGCTATTTTTAAAATTGCTTCAGGCTTTGCAGCTGGGGTTTTATTTGTTTTTGGTGGGGGTTTTTTATTATTATGCCTTGACATTTTAAAGATAAGTCCTGCGCATGAGCATTCTACCGAGCAGTCCTGCAAAAGTCAACACTTCCAGGCAATTCTTTACAGTGTAGCTACTAAGCATACATTTTATCCATGTCTATCATTATTCCACAATAACAGAGCCACTAAGGTCTATCCTGTATCTAGGGTTTTGTAGATAAAATGCCAACACCGAGAACCTCAAGCTGCAGAAGTAATGTTGTTATTGTCAAGATTCAAAACAGCAGAGACATGAAAGACTTGAAGATTTGCTTATGTACTGCAAAGCTCTACTTTTTCTAAGTGCCCCTATGCATCTTTGCCTTGCCTAGATTCTGAAATTGTGTAAAGGCAAAAATGTTTACCAAGTTGCCATAATTACTCTTGATCGAATTTAGAATCTAAACCACCCAGTCCTTCTTAATTTTTCTTGGCTTGTTTCTCTTTTTCCATTTTGTGATCTACAAGGTGGGTCAGTGGTTTTGACTTCAGCTTTTCAGACTTTGCCACTGAATTCAGAAAGCAAAAGTATGTTCTCCCTGCTCCTAAAATCATCACTTCGATTTCACTGGTAGCAGGACTTGCCCTGAGAAGGCTACACTTTTGAACAGGGATGTGATGAATCAGACACAGACTCAAGGCTTATATCTGGTGGTCTGGTTTTCAGGCATTCACTTGAATCAGAAATCATAATTAAGATCAAAAAACTACCTTGTGAATCATTTTTCCATCTAGGTACTTGTATGTCCCACTGTTGCCATAATTTGTGCTTCCCAAGGTTTTAAAAATAGAAAGAACAAAATGCTCTCCTGCTTTCTTACCCCCTCCTTTATTTTCCAAACCCTGTGAAAAATAGCTTACTTTAGAAGGGTTTACTTTGCCTTCCTTATTTGCTTCCTTGCATATGTGAAGAATTTGCAGAGGGAGAGAAGCATTGCAGAAGTGGGTCCTGCGGAAATGCTGTTATTCTTCACAGTGGTCAGGACCACATTCAGTATCCCTAGATCCCTCTCCTGGGAGAGAGTCATCTCTGTTGCTTCAACCTCTCCCACTGGTGACACAATTCTTGTGGGCAAATATTTTTGCCATACAGTCATGACAGAAGCTGAGTGGTGGTGCCTCAGTATTTGATGTATGCTGTAAATTGTCTATACTTCTGCATGCATGGCTTTCCCTATGTCAGCTTTGGACTGGTTTGAAGTCCTGGACAGGAGGGATCTTCTGGTAAACCAACAGTCTGCTAAGAGCCCTGCAGCACTGGTGAATGAGCAGTTCCAGAGTGTGTCTGCTTTTCTTAAGAGCTTCTGAGAAGCAGGAAAAAAAAAGCCATGAGTTTCAATAGTGGCAAAGGGGGCTGGTTTGAAATGCATTGTTTGAAGACAACAGGTTTTCAGTAGTGTTGGTACTCTGCCATCATTTGATGCCAGTCGGTATGTTGGGAGGAGGTGACATGCTATTCTTTTTTTGTGTGTGTTTCCATTTGTCTTGCCTTCTTTCTATTTCTCTTGCTTCCAAATGGAAGCCACACATAAGAGGAAGTAAGAATGGCAGGTCTCCAGTGCAGGGCTGAGTTAAATACTCTCTGCATTGACTTGGATCCTCTCCTGCCATTTGAACAGTTTCTGTTTGGTGCTCAGATGTTATCTAAACTTCTGTATAGAAGGAAATAAGGTTTGTGGCTTTCATTGCTGTCCTCACGGATTATCTTCAATAACATTTTCTAGTGTACATATTTTGACTGATTGGATATGAATGTTGAAAATGTTTCTATGGTTTCTTGTTATTAATGGTCTTAAGGTCAAGTAAGATATGTTCCTACCAGCAGGGCCTTTACTTTGCAATTCAGTTACTTTGGTCAAACCCACCGATTTCTTTGTGGAGCTATAGGCTTGGTTTTCATGTTAGGCTGATCCACTCTTTCTTTTTCTGAAGCAATAGAAAACAAGGAAGATCTACCTGAAAAGGTGATGGCACTAACTGCTCTTAGAAAGACAAAACTTTGTGCTTCGTCTGTGAATCTGTGATCTGTGTTAATTAGCTTGCCTACAGTATATCTTCACTGCCAGTTACAAATGGGTGGAATTACAGTTTTTTCACCCAGACAGTACCATATCTAGGAATGTATTTCCATGCACTATTTAAAAAGCAAGTCAGACAATATATTTATGGCAAGCTAAGAGAAAGGCAGTCCTGAGTCCACGTGTTAAATTTCAGGGCTAAGTGGACTTGAAGGTGCTCTTATCTAGCAAGTCTTTTGAAAGGAGACCACAGCTGAGAAAACCTGCCTCTCTTTCCTTCCTCCCTCCTAACACACATGTGTTTCGCTAATGTCCAGGAAATGTTTTCAATGGCAAAAATTGTTGTTTGAAAAAGAAAAATCTTCCAGGACTTTGTAGTCCATTTGCAAGCTTATACTTAAACTGGGAAGGACAAAAGTGTTTCCACTAATAAAAGATATCTCCAGTCCACAATCAATTCAAGTCTGGTTTTTAATAGCAGTCAGGGGAGTGGTGGCAACAGTTACACAACTGCTGCCCTGAGGAGTTAAATTTTGCTTTTGGCATCTCCTGTGTTAAGCGGAGAAGAGCTGTTTGGGGCTAGAAGAATGATATATATCTGTGGGAGGGAGGGAGCTGCAGGGGAGGGGGGAGCACTTTAAATGAATTCTTTAATGGGAGCCCTTTCCAGAAGGCATCCATGGTATTCCTCTGCAAAAGGAAGAATAAGTACTCAGCACCATATATGGTGACACTTTTATGTTTTTTAATATAAACATGTACAGGCTGGAGCAATCCATGTAGATAGGTTTTGCTGATTGGTTGGGCCAGGGGGGAGGGAAGGAAATGAGACCCTGCTTTTAATATCTTAACATTAGAAAACTTAAGAGCTTGGGTTTGAATAAATAAACAGTAGGCAGAGTTGGAAAGATTTTCAGCTTTGCAAAATAGCCCCTTCCTCTGACTTGGCTTTCCAGCTTTTGTATTTATTTTCCTTTAGCTTGTTTGTTTGCAGCTGTTTCATTCTGTAAATTGCTTTGATTTTTGTTCAGGGAGTATCTTGTTCCCAGTGCAGATATCAACAGATCAGTAAAAACTATTTGAGATAGCTTAGCTCCAAATGTAGGGGGACCAAAGCCACTCAGTCAAACATCATAGTGCTGGGCATAGCAAAGGAGGATGCCACACTGGGTTTGAGCTGTTTTCGTGCAATACACAATCACTTAGCTCAGGCAAGTTGCAGAGGGAGAAACCTCTGTTTTTCTGATTTCACTTAAATATTTCAGGAACCAAGTTGGAGAATGCAGCTGCCAGGTGTCTCTGATGCTGCGGGAGAGTTCAGCTTCCACAGCAGAAATGCTCAGAGAGTGAGTATTTTTCCCAGGGACTTGCATGGGTGGGTTCTATTTTTTGCTCCGTTAATTCCCTGCCCTTACAGACCCAGGCTGGCTGCTGTTCAACCTAATCCCCAAATGTGACCCAACAAATTGTTTTCATCATACAAGCTAAGCACATTGTACCAAGCCAGAGCAGAGAAGATCTTTTTTGTTTGTGCCCTTATATGGCTCCTGAAGTCATCATTGATGCAATAAACTAATGGAGTATGCTCCTCTAATCAACCTCCCCTTCTATAAACACATTTTGTTCCTGCTCTGAGATTGTTCCCTGACATTTTTAAACCAGCCCCTTTCCTGGCTCTCTCTTTCTTTTCTTTTTCGGATCATAGTGGGAGGGAATCAGCCAGCTCTGGAGAGAGAAGAGATGGTGGAGATCATGGTAAACTAACATTTGGTAGGACAAGTGGCTTCAAAAAGAACAGCAGTGAAACCAGAGTAGCTGAGGAAGAGCAGGAAGACGTCCGAGGAGTGCTGAAGAGGCGAGTGGAAACTCGGGAACACACAGAGGAGAGTCTGAGGCAGCAGGAAGCTGAGCAACTTGATTTCCGTGACATTTTAGGCAAGAAAGTCAGCACCAAAAGTTTTTCTGAGGAGGAACTGAAAGAAATCCCAGCCGAGCAAATGGACTTCCGAGCAAACCTGCAGCGGCAGGTCAAACCCAAGACCTTGTCAGAGGAGGAAAGGAAAGTCCATGCTCCTCAGCAGGTGGACTTCCGCTCCGTGCTGGCCAAGAAAGGCACCCCAAAAGCCCCAGTGCCAGAGAAGGCACCACCTGCCAAACCTGCCGTTACAGATTTCAGGTCTGTGCTGGGCTCAAAGAAGAAGCCACCTGCAGAGAATGGCAGCGCTAACACCCCAGCACCAAACGCCCGCACCAACGCTGAAGCCCAGAACGCGACCCCCAACTCTCAAGCCCCTGTTGCCAAACCAGCAGTGAAAAAAGAAGAGAAGAATGACAGAAACTGTGAACATGGGTGTGCAGTGGTGGATGGCGGAGTAAGTGGGAAAAAAGCTGAAAACAAAGCACCAGCAAGCAAACCACCAGCGAGCAAAGGAACAGCACCCTCCTTTACAGAGAAGCTTCAGGATGCTCAAGTAGAAGATGGTGAAAAATTGGTCTTACAATGTCGGATTTCCTCTGATCCCCCTGCAGCTGTCACCTGGACTCTAGACAGCAAACCCATCAAATCATCAAAGTCCACTGTCATCTCCCAAGAAGGTAAATTAATTGAATTACAAGCCAGCTGGATGGCATACTGTTATATCTGGCTCTTGATTAATAATATTTAGTTCATTAAAGGTAACACAATACTTTATTTAAGTCCTGTGCCAGTAACTGTTTCCAGATGCAGCTTTCTTGTTATTTCAGTGGAGTACACAAGGAACAGCATTGTTTGACATTTCTTGCAGATTCTCCTTTAACAGCCTGCAGATGTAATTTTTATAAAGTTGAACTTCTTGCATTTTTGAATGCTGTTTACATTGCTAACGCTGTTTAAGGAGCTGGTACATGATGATTATTTAAACTGAACTTTAAGGCTTTAGAACATTGAAAACATAATAATATTATTGCTGGTTTACAAAGTCTAATTTAATTCTTCTGTATGTTTAATATTTCAGGCTTTTTATTGCAGTAAGAAACACAGAAGCAAAGAGGGGTTGTGTCATAGAAAGAAATTACTACAACTTCAAGTTACATAGCTAAGATCAGAGTTGAGAATTCATTTCCAGTGTGTTTGCTGCCCCTGCCACAGATGCTTCTATTGCTTTTACAAGCACTGAAGTATTTGAACCCCACTGGCCTGATGACTTTTAACTAACTTCAAAGCAGTACAGAGTTTGGTAAAAGTCCTCAGAGAGAAGACTTAGTGTTTTCAAATTGAGTGATTCCTTTATACTCCACATTTTGGATAATCAAACCCTTCTAGACTGTTTTTTTAATGAAAGTTAATTTTGTATCGAGACAATATACATTTTCCTTGGAACAAAAAAAGCGAGGACAACTGAGAGCACAAAAATCCCTTCTTTGCTTCATATTTGTTTCATTAAACACTGAGGGAATTATCTGGAAAATGACACTGTCTGGCATATTGTAGTAAAAATGTTCATGTTCACAGTAAGCATTACAGCTTGACATAGGGATTTGCACTCTTAGGTATGTCTTTCTTCATTTAATCTAGACTATTTTCAGTGTTACCAAATGAGAACCAAATTAATATGCACAGTGGTTCAGCACAACCAGCAAATCCTTGTGCAGTGTTCCAAACACTGAAACATGAGGATTCTCCTAAAGTGGATGCAGTCAGAAACAACATTGTCTTCAGATAGGGTGAGGGTACCTAAGCAGTGCATTGAGGGGATGCTAAAGTAAGTGGATGGAGAAGGGGAAATGATAGCAGGTGCATTGTGTCTGGCATGTGGCTGGAGTAGCATATTTTTGTTTGGTTTTTGGTGAGTACCTGATGATTTTCAGCAGAGGGGACTGTATAGAGTAAGGATAAGTGTCATGTACATGAGAAAAAGTTGACTGGTGGAAATGCTATCACAGGACTGACAAGATCAGTCAATTTAACCAGCCTTAGACTGGAACCAAGGTTTCAAGGATTTTCTTGGAATTGATCAGAGTGGAAAAGAAATTAGGCATCCCAAAGTTTCATGTCTCCTTTCAAAATACATCAAATAGACAGTATCTCTGTACCAAAGCTTTGAGCTATGGTGGAGCCTCCTAATGTCCTGAAGCCTTAGTTTTATGGTGCTGCAGAAAGCTGTTTTCTTGACTGAAATAATCTGAGTAAATAACTGTTATAATCACCCAACTCATATTCACTCTATAAAATGGTACTGTGGAGCTGAAAATCCAGTGTGACTGTGTTTACAGTGAAGAAATCCTCATGTAAATGCTCTGCCACCTGACTGAGCAAGGCATGTGACTTATCCCAGCCAGGTTGGCTTGGCTAAGTGACACTCTTGGTCATAACACTTCAGAGTGTCACACGTTAGCAATGCTTTCCATTGAGGTAAGGAACAAAAGTCACCACTGCATAAGGAATCTACTGTTTCAGGACAGCTTCTTGGAGGGAGTGAAGAAACTGTCCCTATCTACTACTTGTACCTACACTATTACACTGGTATCACACTTAAGTAGTCAGTGTTATCAGTACTTCAAAGTCAGCCTTGCTTTTGCATGTATTTGCAGAGGATCTTAGAAAGAAATATTAGGCAGGGCAGTAAGTTTTTTCCTTTAATGGAAAGAAATGGCATGAGTATTAGAACCTTTTTTTTTTCCAGCCTTCTTACATACCCTCTGGTACACTGAGGAGATGAATTGCATGATGGTCAATTTAGGTTTTTTCCGGACAGTACCTGCTAGTTTTGGCACTTGAAGAAGAATGTGTTGCAGTTCTCCCCCTGCAAGATGCTTTCATGCCAGCTGTTAAGTAATTAACTAGGTATGCATGATACTTCCTTTAAGGAAGTTCCAGATTTCAGAAAGATTCAGTTTTCTCTTTTTCCCTAATTAGGAACACATACACAGTTGAGGGAACAAAGGGAGGAGAAGGAATAATTGGAGTTACAGACTAGAATTGAGAAATAACAAATTCAGGACAAGTATCAGGAAATGCTGTTCAATAGGGAAACTGTATGAATTAATCTCACAGATAGTGTTTGGAGCAACATTAAACATAGAGAGCAACATTAAAATTGGATGCAGTACTCAGCAGCTCAAAGCCAAACTCCCAGTTTCCATCTTTTGCCCCAAACACTGAAAATGCAGGTTCATCACACCCACAGGTGTCATGTTCTTTAGCAGCAGTGCCTTTGGCTAACCTTGGAGCAGCATTTAATGGGCCCTGGGGATAATCCCCTAGAGATTCTCAGATGAAAGAAGGTTGAGTCTGTGGGGAGTAGAGGAATTCAGAACAAACAGACCTAGCTCTCCTCAGTGGGTTTAGATATTGCAAAGCCAGTTTTTGTTTCTTCAGCATGACCTTGCTTTTCTTGTGTTCAGCAACAAAATCCACTAAGAAGAGGAGAGACTAGGTCTGTTCTTGGCCATTCCACCAATTGGTTTTGTGCTGCCATGATATTTGGTGGTGACCACAGCTTGGGGGTTTCAGATTTTCCAGAGGTATCTCACAAAAGAATAGATTACTTGTTCTTAGCAAGTTGGATACTGGAAAATCCTCTATCTAGAGTAAGACATGTCCATCTGTTTGTTATCATACTACTAGCCCATCTTAGTATGGGCCACTGGCCCACAAACTGATCAGGGTAAGTAATGCATGAACCCACAGAACGCCAAGTATTTGTCTTTTGGAAAATGAGTTAGTTATTCCTCTCTGTCATTGCCAGAAACCAAAAAGAGACAGCACTTTGCCCACCTCCTGGTGCCAAATATACCATGAAGATAAATGCATAAAACCTGGTGTCAGGAACATATCCATGTGATAAAACAAGTGGCATATTTGGCCAGAAAGGTCAAACTTAGCAGTATACTTGTGTGTAACAAGTTCACAGGACAGGCAAACTATGTACAACTATATTCCTTTATGTAATTACTCACTGGAAATAACTTTCCTTGGCCTATTTGTCCTAACGGATAGTAAAGCCCTTTACCTCTTAGAAACAAAGCAATTCACAGGTCTTCTCTGTGTTTGCAGAGGCTGAAACTGCATTGCCTGTCCAAGGCCATTTAGCCATTAGTGTGCAAGAGAAGGGAGAGTTAGCCCTGCTTCTGTATCAGAAGCCTGAATACAAACACCAAGATCAAATAGTCACTGATTGGTAAGGTCTTTGGCAAAAGAAAAACTAAATCTTGCTCCAAAAAAGACCTTCATCTTCAGGCATATTTCTGCAGTACTTGTGCTGTATTCTAGTAGTTAATCTAGGGCTTACAATGTATGCTATGATTTCAGGGCCAAGTTTACATTAGCAATTAGAAGTCAGAACCTGGGCATTATACTGAATGTCACAATCACAGCACGTCTAATATCACTCCCATTCCTTCCATTTTACACTTCAGCTACTAATACAATTTTGTTTCCCTTTGAAATCATGAACATCAGTAGTTGTTTTTCTATTTCCCCTAACAATTCCCCAAATAATACTCTGTTGGCTGACTGGCATGAGAGATTTTTTGCTTTCAATACTGCTTTTATGAAAAAGTGAGCTCTTAATTCCATTTTTATTTTATGAACACGTCTGACCTGGTGTGATTTTGTTAATGGTTTGATTTTATGTTTTTTCTTCTATTAAACTTGTCAGAGTGCAGTTATCTACATTTATGGGATAGATATTAATGTGGAGGTTTTGCCTATAAAGTATCAAAATTAATGAGAACTGTAACAGCCAAACAAGGGTACTGATAAATTAGAGCATTATGCATCTGTACAGATGAGTCAGATGGTGTATGGTTAAGAGGCAGTTGATTTTATTATAAAAGAGTTCTTTCCTTGAAGTTAGGGGGGGCTTATTGGTTTTTTTTGAAAAAGGTTTTTAAGAAGGCTCTGGCAGATATTAGAGCGGAGTTAGACATATAAGGACTGAGTAGAACAAGTTTCTCTTGTTGAACTCTTTAGAGCAGGAACCATTTTGTTTTACATTTGTATAGCACTGGCACAGCAGTGCCCTGTGCTACTGTCCTGCTGTGTGACTCACTCTTGGACAGAAAATCCACATAGAAAATTCTTCCATGGTTACAAAAGTTGTTCTCTAAGACTACAGTGAAAGGGTTTTGGAAGGCAACATCCTTAGTACACTGGACAGCTGAGGTCTACAGCAAATACAGTCAAAACTGGCAAACTTGTCATTTTTTAAGTCAGCTTGCACTGCTTTTATTGCATAGATTTAGTGCCATGTGACTTATCTAGATGGAAGAGGAACTGCCTAGTATAAACTCAGGTAGCAGTGATGGTGTAGCTTAGAAAATGGCCTGAGTTTGTATTGCTTTGTGCAAAACAGCATTTTTTTCTTCCTGAGCGTCTTGGCAGCATCAAGATGTGGTAATCTTGTTAGCAATAATGCCTTAACAACTTTCTTGTGACTTCACATAGCTCCTAAATCTTCCTGTCAGTTGTGCAAGTCTGTGTCTGTCAGTCTAACTAGGATCTGCTGTGACTTTTTTGTTTTCTTTTTAATTAAATTTGAGCAAGAATTTGGTGTGTAATTAACATAACTATGTATTGATGAAAGTAGATGGATTCTGCAGCTTAAGAAAAA